GTCTATGTAGGAATATATTCTTATATTTTTTTATTTAAAAAAAAATAAGGAGACACCGAGACAGGTTTTCTGATACATCAATTGAATTTTCATACATAATACATGAAATTATCATGTTCTACGATCTACTTTTGAAAAGAGTCAAGATCCTCCCCTAATATCATTGCGGGTACTATAGCTGAGAACGGAAATGATTTGTGATTAGTTTTCATTTCAATTCCACAGACATCAAATGAAACTGAATATTTTCTATATAGTTGGGATTTTTCCACCAAAAAATAACAAAGCAAATGGGAGATTCATTATTCAAAAAAAAATTTGTCGTCCTGCAGAACAGATTCATGTTCGATTTTCGACAAGACAAACAAACCAATTTCCAAAAGGAAATTCAATCAATCAACCTAAAGTCAGAATCATAAGATCTGCATATAACACAAACTTTTCTAAAAATAATGATGGCAAAAATATTTCCAGTCAAATGTGATAAAAAATTCATTTTCACAAACTGACTCCAAACTTCAAGATCCACCATCATGATATTGAAGGAAAGATCATACATAGTAGGAGAACAAAAAGCAGCATCAGAATTGACCATTAATAATAAAATATATGCATGAACGGTAGTACCTATATGTATAGTTTGTCGTTCGTTTCGTATGTATTTCGAAGAACTCCGAGCGAATGACTATTTTATCGAGCTATCCATAGATAACTCTTGATCATTCAGATAGACATGGAGGCTATTCTATGTTGATATTCAAATTTTGGACTTTTGAACGTAATCCTTCTTTCGAAGGAGAGCTCTTGACTTAGTTCATTTTGATGCTGATGATCTTATGATCTTCTTTCAGAAGATATTTTGAAACGTCTTCCTGAAAAAAAAACGGTCATATTTTTTATATTGGCTGTGGGATCTGGATCTACTTTGCTTTTTCTTGTCATTTATAGATTGGGATCTTCATCTTCTTGGACTTTTGAAATTTGATATTTCAAAGTGTTGAAGGTGGCCTACCAATAATGTACCACTTTCTTGATAGGGTTTCTTCGGAACAAAGAGTCAATGTTAATTGTTAATATGGAACCTAGTAATTGTGATGCACTGTTTGTGATGCACTGTTTGCTGTAGTAATGAATATTTACTGGAGTTTTCTCCCAACACCAAACCGTTATTTTAATACCTTGACACGTGTTTCGATCACCAAGTGTTTATATTCAAGAGAAAGATCAAACCAGTTTGCTAGTGTATTGCTACAAAAGAACTTCTCTAAGTTTGGGTCTCAAACTCTTTGAAGCATGCTCGAGTGCTTCAACTTATCAATAACATATAATTCTAGAATTAGAATTTTTTGAAGATATGAAGCTCCAAAATTTAGATGGTTCATTTTTTATATTGTCCTCGACCATTTGGATAAACGCTGCGTAGGCAACCTTAATTTGGCGTTTAACGAGCGTTCTGAGTTCGACAAACTGGCGGTGATAGGTTGAGATCCTATGTTGTGGAAATAACTAAGAATTCCTTATCTGGGAAGGAAATAGCATATCGAAACCCTTTTCAAATAAACAATTTTTTTTTAAATAATCGAACGATGTTATAACGACTCCAAACTGTATAATACGCTTAACTACCAAGTAATTCAAAAATCCCGTGAATGGAAAGCGAAGCAAACACTGTAAATATTCCCTAACCATATCAATACACAAATCATTTTGTAAAAACCAATTTCAATATTCAGCACCTGCAAATCCTGCAGGTTGCAGTGGTCTTCAATAAATCGAATTACAGTTTCAGTCCCGCAGTCATGGAAATGATAAAATACGTTGCCACTCATCCGTCTTCAAAAGAAAGTTTGGATCCAGAGCCCGGAATAGGTTGCTAGGGCGACGAAAACGGATTGTATCCTCGTTCCTGCCTCGGGCGATCAAGGTTAGCGAGGTGGGGCGAGGTTCACCAGATAAAGGAATTTCATATCCTTTGAAACGCATTTGTTATGGAAGACACGCAATGCTGGATCCCTTTTTTCTTCTGACAGATCTGCAAATCAAAGAATTATCATTCTTTTCATGGAGGTAAATCTGTTCCCGTTTGGAAATAAAAAAAATGTTAAACTAATTAAAAAAGAAATGAAAAACTATTTCATCAATCATTAATGTTGAAAACTTTCATATATATCTTGCTTATATAAATTTTAATAAAACGATATGTACCCACTATTGATCAATCATATTTTAAATTAGACTAATTGCATTCATGTCATTGCATAGAAGGGGGTCTACTTACAAAAGTCCTGGCAGTTTTTAATTTTTCGATAAGTGGTTTACGATTTTTGTTTAAAATGTGAAATGAACAAGTCCTTCTAACCGTGCCCGCCGCCATCTGAAATCAAATAAAAAAAATATGTTAAACGATTTCATTTAAGCTAGCAAAATTTCAGGAATATACATTGTTGCAACTTCCATTCTCTACAATATTAAGAATAGTTTTGTAGCTGCACTATACCAAGAATAAGATAAGCGAAAGTCTGAAGGAGGTGACAATTTTTTTTCTGACTGTGGCGAGCAATGATGAGGGAGAATTGTACATTTCAAATAGTAACCATCCAAGACAACATATTGAAGATTTAGAACTACCGATATTTTTGTAGATATACCATTTACTGGATTGAAATTTAGTATTTTGAGAAAATTTGTACTAGGTATACAAAACATTTTCATTCGTGACAAATCAAAAGAGGACATAAAACGACATATATTTTTCGGTAACTTCAGCTATCAAAATAATGAAAATGGATCAATTGCGACCTTCTCTCGAAGATGTTCACGTAGTAGGGCTAGTTATACAAGCTTACTTAATTAAGTTCGCTCCATTGACGAATTTGTTATCCATGGAGATATGAAATCACATAAATTGGTGGAACTTGTAGCATTTTTTATGTTATTATGGAGAACAAAAATCATATAAATTGGTGAAACTAGTTGCATTTTTTCACTCATCAAGATGTGACAAACAAAAAACAATTGATAATGTAATATTCATTTGTTCTAGAAAATGAAATTTGGAAGCGTATATACTTTTTTGTTCTTTGATGTTTCTTGATATTTATCTTCCACAATCTGAATGGAAATGTTTATAGAAAGAAAACTGATTCTGATAGATATCTCCACTACATATCTAATCATCACGCCAATGTCAAAAACGGTATTGTGAGATGTTCGTTTGTAGAAAGATAGCTCAGAAAAGTAGGTGAAAGCAATAAACTACAAATACAGATTTTATAATCATCGCAAATCCAACAACAACGCCGGCTGTGGGTGTACCAAAGTATACGTTCGAAAAATAGGTGTATAAGAAACAGAGAGGGTACACACACGGTAAAACTTCCATAAACGAATCATCCGAGAGGAGAACTGAAGAACTGCTGCAACAAAGCAGCACCTGAACAAAATGGGGATGTACAACGAAGATCTTTACTGCAGGCAATGCAAAAAAGGGACATAGACAGCTCGTCATATTGGATTACAGAAGGCTAGCAATTTAAGGGCAACCCAAATTATGTCCAGAAGAATGTAACATGCATCCAGTGGAGTATCTCTACAAACTAGTACTGGAGACTTGGGAGAAACGGGCAAGTCAGACAGCTCCCTAGTTTTATTTTCATTATTATTATTGTTCAATAAATGTTACGCAGCATAGCCGTTTGAACATATCAAATTCAGAACAGAGAAAGGAAAATAGTAGAATGTACACAACCAAAAAAGGAAATTAAAAATCAGTTTTTACAATTCCAGGAATTATCCAGAGCTTTATTGAAGGTATTAATTGATGGAACAGAGGAAGGATGTTCAGGTAGGCCGTTCCAGTGGAAGAAAACACGACTTCACAAAAAATATTGGCGACACAGGTTTAGTAATATTTCCCTGACTATTTCAAATATCCTCTGTTTTTCATTATTACTTCGCACAAAAAAGTTAAAATCTACTGAGTACTGTCTGTGGAGGATTTTGAATGTTTCAATAAGATCACCTCGTAATCGACGATCGGATATCGAAGTTAATTCAAGGCAACAATTAAATGATAGGTATTGGACTTGTGGGACAACTTGGTGATACGTTTTTGGGTTTGCTCAAACGCATATATGTTTTTGGCAAAGTGAGGATTCTAATTTTTTAAAGTTTGGATAACAGTTCAGGAGATATATTTCTGAAGGAAATACTTATCGAGTAAAATATACAGTTGAATTTTTTTATAGTTTTTCCAGTGTGTGTTTCTCATTTTAAATCATGGCTTATCATAACACCGAAGTCTTTTTGGTGCTTAACGGATTTCAGTGGAAGGTCCTTAATGAAATATTGCTCTTCTTGGTTATTACAACCAAGTTGCTCATTCAGATCCACGAGCCACTTGTAGAATCCCTTTTTTATTCGCTGAATATCATTGCCCATTGCCCATTCAGGTTAGGTATGGTTTGGAAAGTTGGTCATCTATTCGAACACAGCAATATCTATTTGATAGAAAATGTCGAGTCCATTGTAGTATGGGCTCAGTAACACAAAATATTGAAGTTTATATAGTAGCCTCTCCTGTGGGACTCTTGTCAAATACTTTTTAGAAGTCAAAGTAGATACCAGAACAACTCATGTCGACTTCAGAAGTCCAATGGTTGACACAGTGTAGTGAATTAGAAATGATGGATCAAACAAGGAGAAATCCATGTTGCTGGTTTATGAGTACTCCAGTCACAAAGAAAAAATTAGTTAGTTCTTTGGTTATTATTCTCTCCATGCATTTGCAGGAAAGGGTTGTTAAGCTAATTTAATGGTAGTTCGAAGGATCCAACTTGTCTTTATTTTCAAGAAAATATATATCATTGTGGAGTTATTCCATGCTAGGGGCCATTTTCCTAAATTTTCTTTGATTCAAGGATGCACTCATCAATTTTGTAAAAAGGAGATGAACTTATGTTGATTGGCATTGCTTCATAAAAGTAGGAGAAATGTTATCGGGATCAGCACTGCTATTCATTTTCATTATTTGTATTGAGATATACATCTTCCCTTCGGCAAATTTTATATCTCTAATGCTCTGTTCCCTTCTAGATTTTGAGGAAGAGAAAATTGACAACTAATTCAGACGAAAATGATTCCTCAAAATCTTGGGCAAAATATGTTATAATATGTTTTTCCGTTAACCAGCTGTCTCCAACCTACGCACGACAACTCTCAAAAGTCGAAACTTGTACGAGCTAAGGACTAACGAGGTCTTACCTCTTAACGTGTGATTCCTGCTAGTAGGGTTAGACACCTCTTCATTGCTCTTATTTATAAAAAAAAAGTTCTAGTCAAGAGTCCCTTTACTATATATAAAAAACTGTTTGTTGCTTTTTGCATCGACAAGTTTTTTATGGCGAGTTGATTTCAGAATTTCCTGTTGTATTATAAGCTTCGACGTCGTTATCACTGTTGATGTCTCAATATTAATAATAATAATAGATTTTATTGCCTCAAACTACAAAATAGAATTATGAAATAGAATACAAACTTAAAATACAAACTTATTTGGTAATCCGGCAAAAGGCAGAGTTCGGTCTTGACAGTAAGGTGAGTTATCGAAAAGACGCGGTCTTCCACTCAACCTGGAAACGAATGATTTATAAAAATCGTAATTCATGAATAAATTGTGTGTATTTTCTACAATGTTATCCAATTTGGTACTGAAGAGCTTTAAGGCAAGTGTCCTACGGCGAAACATCGATGTCTACCAATGAGGATGGCAGTGTTCCATGTAAGTACAATTTGTTACCATTCATTTGAAGTAGAACTCCTGTGAATGATATCTGATTTTATTCCATAACGAATGTATGGAATACAAACTGAGTAGATAAAACTATCTTCTGTATAATTCAGTGTTCATATAAAAGTATTTGTTTCCAAAGATTTTTTCCCTTCGTGTAATTCAATGTTTATATGAAAGTAGCTGTTTCAGGAGGTGTTTTTTCCAAATTGTGTCAGAAAGTTACTTCTTTGCATGATCTACACATCCGTGTATAGAGTTCCTTATTTTCAAATTGATAACTTCCTTCCTTTCCCACATTTTTTTGTGTAAAAAAATTAGTCACTCCTGAAAATATAACCCCTTCAATTGAAATATTTTATGTGCTGCTGTGTAGGTGCTTTTGCCGTTGATACTTGAGAAGCATGAGGCTTTGCACCCTGATGTTATTGCAATCTCCAGGAAAATATCAATTCGATATAACTCTGAAAATACTTCACCCCCTGTATATTGTTCCATTTCAAATTCCCGCTTGCCGAATCCCTGGTACATGCGCGCGACATTAATCGATTAGTGCATATGTCGGTACGAAACCAAACCCACCCCTCAGCTAAAAACTATCAGTTTTCCCTGTCGCCAACAAAGAAAAGTTACCTTCACTCTAGTCCCAAATAGTTTGTTCGAAATATTCGGCGACCTTCCCTGAATTTCAACAACTAGTATGCAAGTAGAAACGTTATTATATTGTATTATTAGGCGAAACTAGAAAAGGAAAATAAAAAAAGTTCTGACGAAGTGATTAAACAGACGAAAAAAATATATAGAAATTTTCTGGTTGTATATCTGGTAAAACAAATGCAATGACGAATCGCGGCCCGGGGTGCGTTTCGGAGAGGGGATGCACGAGGGGCGGAAAGGGTGAATATCTGCGCATGGGGTGGAGTACGGACAGGGCGTCACGACGGCCGAGACGGCACAGATAGTGAGTAGACTGAGTGGCGTCGAGAGTGGCGTCTAGCGTAACAGTGATGGTATTGGTATTGGGATTGATAATGGTAAGTTCATTTTAGTGTGATTGTAGAAAAGCGACGGTGTGGTACCAGTTTGTTTGCTATAATTTTTGTGCGGTGGGGTTGCACTTGTGGCGTCGGTTAAATATGTGTTTTAATAAGGAAAGTGAGTTTTTGCTGTAGTCCGAAAACGTTCCTTTAGAAAAATCATTGATTTGGTTTTGAGTTCAGGTTCACCATCAGGCAATCACCTCAATTGTTACAAGTTATTTTCAAGGACAATTGAGCTGGCACTTTTCCACAATTACCATATCATTGTAGTACACTGTCGAATTAATTTTTCCTGTGAAATCCATGGACAGAAATTTGGACGAATTAAATATTTCTCTTTTTTGAATTCCAGAATCAGGAGTTGACTAATCATTCTCAGTAGATAAAAGTAAAGTAATAAAATCGAATTATTAAATGTATGATGTGTAAACAGTTCTAGAATCGATTTAAATACTATTGGTAAATGATGGTAAAACGAAATATTCCCTTATTGAGGCTTGGGATTTATATTGATATGAGAGAGTTGAAGTATAATTTGACGCATAA